CTCTCTCTCTCTCTCTCTCTCTCTCTCTCTCTCTCTCTCTCTCTCTCTCTCTCTCTCTCTCTCTCTCTCGAATGGCTCTCGACGACGTCGCGTGCTTCAAACGGTTTCGAATGCCGACCCGCGCCCGCCTTCGAACAGCGCATTACCGGCTTCTCTCGAACAGTCTGGAACGACTCTGGACGGTTTCGAATGCCGACCCGCGCCCGCCTCCGAACAGCGCACTACCGGCTTCTCTCGAACAGCCTGGAAGGCTCTGGACGAATCAGCAAATGCTGACCCGGGCCCCGACTCCCAAATCCGAAAACGCGGCGCGCCTGGCTGAAAACCCGGTTCGAACGAAAACTCGATTTCACTCAGGCCTGCCTACGGTACCCGCCCCCGTTCCCGACACTGGCGGTTCGGAGGCGGGAGCGTCAGCAGTCTCGGGCCCGCCTACGGTGCCCGCCCCCGTTCCCAACACTGGCGGTTCGGGCGGACGTGGGAGCGTCACGTGAGGACCGCTGTTCACTTAAAGTAGGTAAGGGATAATAATAATAATAATTGTAATAATAATAATAATAATAATAATAATAATAATAATAATAATAGTAATAATAAAGGACGGTGAGGTACAAGTTAGAGCGATGTTGATACTAACCTTAAACCACCACTCCATTCGGACCTGTTTCTTTTTTATAAATAAAAGAGGTCCTTATGGCCCTTGCTCCATATCCATTCTGGGGAGCGTTAGTCCGGTTCCTATTCCACCGGCAAGTCATCCGAACCTGTTTTGACACACCAAAATTTGCGTTTCCCCAAGCCTGAAGTCTGCAATGCCTTTTAAAATAAGGGAGGGCTACTGGTTTTAGAATGGCTTCAAAACCAGAGGGCGGGGTAAATAGAATGAGGGTGAAATGTGAGGTTTGAAAAGCCTGGATTAGAAGTGGGGGAAGGGCAAGAGGAAAGAGGTGATAGCAAAGACAAAGGAGACAAGAGTAAGAATTAGATGAGACTTAAGCATACAATAGGCAGCCAGGTATAGGGAAGTAACTAGACTAAAAAGTGTAGTAGTTATAAAAAAGTGGATTGAACAGAGGGTGTGAATAATAGGATTGACAAAGGAGATTGGTGTAAAAATTAGATGAGTGCAAGGAAAATGAGCGATAGCGAACTTCAGAAATCAGACAACATCATACACATGAGACCAGATAGTCATGACCTCGAACCAATAGCAGAATTGCATCACAAGTTCCACCAAATAAGAACACAGCAAAAGCTCATAATTGACAATGCTGGAATAGTCTCACCATCATCAACGAAGAACCAATGTCGATATCCTATCTGGCGCTCGACGCCCAGGCTACAGATGGCAGATCCTATCTACCCTAATCTACAATGTCGCCGATGACGTCAACAGCTCCCTGAAGTACGAGCAGATCTCGGCCAATGTCGTACGCTTCAAGCAACAGGTATGTCTCTCGTATCACTCACAACCTCGTTCCCCAACTCACAGATGCCACATGCACCCAAGGACCACCATGCGCCCCATCCAGCATACAGCAGCGCAGCCCGGCTATGGCTGCCTGCTCCTTCCAGCGCGCCCGTGAGCGCATGAGCGCTGGCCAGCGTTAGCGCAGCAACGCTTGCGCAGCATGCAGCCAGTGCCCGAATGTCGAATGCATGTGCAGGCAATTTCCTAAATGGAAGTGGTCTGCCTGCCTTGCGTGCAGCCTGGCTGCGCTGGGTCCCTGCCCAGAAGCTTTCGGTAGGCCCAGAGAGGCTGAGCCCCAGACCAAACGGATCAGGCCCAAGGCCTGTGACAGTTATCTGTGCCCAACTGCCCGCAGCCTGAGTTGGGTCCATGCTGCGTATCTCGCCCAGGGACTGACTCAGATGTATTTGATAAAGGAGGCCAAGGCCTGGGCACTTTCAACCAACTGGCGTTGTGCAACTGCTTGAATTTCCCCCCAGTTGCGAAGTAGTCCAAAATAGGCCTCTTGTCGTCTGTCGAGTCTGCCTTCACTTAGGGCGGCCGACACTGTTGCAAATAGGGGCCCAGTAGGGCTTCACATTCCCTCCTCCACACTTCGCTAGTCCTTTGAGAAGTTTAGTCAATCTGGCGCTTTCCTTTCTGCAGTAACTTCTCGTAGTGGACGACAACCTGTGGAGCGGTCTGCATCAGTTCCTCCTGTGTAAACCATCTATCCTCCTTAGGATCAGTGTGATATCTGAACCGAACGCGATACTGCAGCTTCGGTTTCGGAGGACGTCCCCTGCCGGTGGGTCTTGGAACTGGCATTTCTTTGTGATCCACGATGTCATCGATGTCGACTTCTCCGTCCATGGTTGGGGGCAGCATTGAACGACGAGAGGGAAACTGGTCAGTTTCCTTGAAAGGTGCGAGCTTGGAGGCGTAGAATATAGGGTGAGTGCGTAGGTGACGAGGGATGTGAACTACATATGACGGCCCATCTGGACCTTCTCCGACAATATCCAAAATCTCCCATGGTCCAAAGTACTGTGGCATGAGCTTGCGGGAGATCCCATGCTTCTGTCCCAGTTCTTAGGACTTTACCCAGACTTTGTCCCCTACGTGAAATGTAGACGGGCAGTTGTGTTTGTTCTCGGACTCTAACATTGCCGCCTGCGCCTTGTGCATTTGCTCCACTGCCTGCTGCATCAGTTGTTCATATCGATAGGCAAATTCTAATGTGCCTGGTGCAGCAGTTAACTGGTTCTCAGCTAGTAGAAAGTCTAGAGGCAGTCTAGGCTTGAAAGTCAGCAGCAGACTGTTAGGGCTCACCCCAGTGGCGTTGTGCACAGCGTTGTTGTACAGACTGGCGATGAGAGCGAGTTTCTCATCCCAGTCCACCTGATTGGGCTTGATGTAGTGCTGCAACAGATGTTGTACAACGCGGTTCAGTTGCTTTGCTTGGCCGTTTGCCTCTGGGTGGTTTTCGGAGGTCATTTGCAGTTGTGTACCTTGTTCTGCAGCTGCAGCCTTCCACAACTCACTTGTGAATAGGACATCCTTGTCACCTTCAATAGACTTTGGGAGCCCAAAGTCTCTGACCCAGTTCTCCTTGAAGAGTCTAATCACATACTCGGTCTTTGTTGTCTCCGACATTGCAACTAACCTAGCGTACTTACTAAACCTATCCACGATAACAAAGATGTGTCTCATCCCACTCTTGCTGGTGACCAGCGTGTCCATGAAGTCCATGGACAGGCTCTCGCCAGGCCTTTCCGAAATCAGAAGGGGCTTGAGAAGCCCAAGAGGGGCCTGTGTACGGGGCTTGTCTCTTTGACAGACCTGACAAGTTTCCACGTACAGCTTGGCATCTCTCATTGTCGTGGGCCACCAGAACTGCTGCAACAGATTGGCTGCAGTCTTCTTATGTCCAACTGTCTTGCGGCGTCATGACACTCTCCTAAAAATAAACTACGCAAAGACTCCCGATTAGGCACACACAAACGTTTATTATCGGCCTTCTCAAGGAACAACAAGCCGTTAACCAACTCAAACTCGGTAGAAGTCACTTTGTCCTTCGCCTCGAGTCTGCGAATGATCTCAGACATAAACAGATCCTCGTGATAGGGTTCCACCAAAGAGCGAGTTGCATCGTTCGCAAGCCCGAACTCGTTAATCAGCGCACCAGAGAAATCAGGCCTACGTGATAAGGCAACTTTATTGTACTCCCCCTTCAGATGCTGGGATTTGAAGTCATACTGTTCAATGACTTCGATCCAATGCTTCAAGGCATCCGAAAGTACTGACTGGGTTCTCATCCACTTCAGGGTCTGATGATCAGTCCTGACGATGAAAGAACCTCCCAAGGAGGTAATGTCTCCAGTGGGTCAGTGCCTTATAAATCGCGTAGAGCTCTTTCTCTTAAGTGGACTTGGCCAACTTCTGAGACGACATCTTTTTGGACATGTACTCGACTGACCTCAACTTTGGCCCCTCCTGCTGCACGAGCACGGCGCCAATGCAATATTGGCTGCCATCCGTGGTTACTATGAACGGCTTGTCAGGATCAGGAAGTTTTAAGACCTCATGGTGTGTCAACGCATGCTTTAGATGTCTGATGGAAGTTTTAAGACCTATTGGCTGGCATCCGTGGTTACTATGAACGGCTTGTCAGGATCAGGAAGTTTTAAGACCTCATGGTGTGTCAACGCATGCTTTAGATGTCTGAAAGCAGCCTCACACCTGTCTGTCCACTCCCACGGGGTGTCAAGGCGAGTCAGGTCAGTCAAAGGGGCGGCCACTATACTATAGTTCTTAACAAAGTTACGGTAGTAGCCGGTCATACCTAAGAAAGACCTCATTTCAGTCACATACTGAGGACGCAGCCAATCACGACTGCTGGCCACCTTCGCGTCATTGGGCTTCAAACCCTCTGCGGAAATCTCATGACCCAAGTACAAGATCCGGGTGCGACCAAACTCGCACTTCTCCCCGTTGATGTTGAACTTGTGCTGCCGAAGGAGACTGAGGACTTTGTCCAAGTGCGCAACATGCTCCTCGACAGTCCTACGAAAAATAAGTATGTCATTGAGGTACACGATGACAAACTTATCCAAGTAGTCATGAAAGATCTGATTCATAGCGTGCTGAAAGGTGCCAGGAGCATTGCAGAGGCCGAAAGGCATCACCACAAACTCGTACAGACCGTACCTGGTCTGAAATGCGGTTTTGGGTTGATCCTCGGGCCTGATTGCAATCTGATGGTACCCGAACTTCAGATCTATCTTACTGAAGTACCGACACCCTTGCGCTCTATCTAGCAAGTCATCGATGCGAGGTAGGGGCTCTCGGTTCTTGACAGTGATGGCATTGAGGCCCCTATAGTCAATGCACATCCTCAGAGTTCCCACCTTCTTCGACACAAATAAGACTGGGGATCCGTAAGGGGAGACACTCGGTCGGATCCAACCGTTTTCTACGAGTTCCTTGAGTTGCCGACGAAGCTCATCAAACTCGCCTGGAGACATCCGATAGGTCCTACCCATCGGGATGCTAGACCTTGGGATAATCTATTGCGTGGACGACCTCCCTCTCAACAACTCCTTTTGGCTCTTCAAATAGATCAGGGTATTTAGCAACTACTCCCTCTATCTTCGGCAGCATTTTCACCGGCTCGCCTGCTGTAGAGACATAGACTAGATACATACCCTCCTCCAGATTTTGCTTATAATAGTTATAGAACGCGGCCGCACACATGCATCCGTAGGACTTAATCAGACTACTAGCTTTAACTTACGTAATCTGGCGGTCCCCCCACTTGGCAAAGTGTGTTTGACCACTTTTCGGTCCCAGTCAAATTGGGGCTGTGCAACGGAGAGGTAGTACATACCTAACAAGATATCCATACGGAGATCATCGCTCACTAGGAACGAAATGCGAACGTTCTGAAGGTAGTCGTGGAGTACCATGCGCTGTTTGTTGGCACAGGTCGACTCCACAGGTCGACTCAGGCGCTGCACTTGCCCCTGTAAGCGCAACCTCTCAACGCACGCGCGACTAATGAAGTTCCTAGTCGAGCAAGTGTCATAATAGGCCCCGGCCTTACGACCGCCGATGACTACCTCACCGACGAACATCTCACTCCTAGGGGGTTTTGCCAATGCCGTCCAAGAAGCTAGCGGGTCTGATTTGGACCACTCCTCCTCGAGCTCCTCTAAGGACTCGAACACATTCATCGAACAGAGGCTCGATGGGTCTAAATGTGCTTGCGGGACGACGATGGAGTCAGTAGCTTGGGCCATCTTTCGAGATGGTGAGGGTGTGTTCACCACCTCGACCCTAACAGGAACAACTACTATTCCTACTGGCCCGACGCATTTCCCGGAGCAGTGCCAGAACTGCTGGCCACATTGCTACCAACGGGAGTGGAGGATCCGAACGCCTGCCCCATCGTAGGCGGGATCTTCTCGGTCACCTTCGTATTGCAGCACTTGAACTGGTTGTGGCCATATTGACCACAACGAATACAGGCCTGCCCGGTGTACCTGTCTCTCCACACGTCCTCCGTGAGACCCGCTTTCTCCCATGGAGGAGCATTGGGTTCTACTTGACTCCTAGACCGGGAGCGTCATGGCGTCTACCGGTCGCCTTGCCTTTGTACTGAGGCAGCGACTACTCCACCCCCTGAAGCCTCTACGCTGCTTGCCTCCGTATCCACTCCTGCCTGGAAGTCGTCATCCAACTCGATGGTAGAACCATCGCTGTCGACGAACATAATGCGTCTCTTCGTTTTCCAGTTGGGAGGCAGTGACTTTTTCCTACCATCCGCCGTGGGTGTCTGTCCATGGCCTATCTTTGCTTCCAAGTTTAGGGCCTTCTTGTTAAACGAGGGGAAGTTGTGCATGTTGATGTTGGCCTCACCTGCCAACCGATTCCTGAGAGGCATAGGAAAACATCTCAGGTAGGAGGTGAGTAAAACCTGGGGGTCATAGCGCACCCCAGGGACAGATCAGACGCTCTACTGTGCCTGTTGCCTCTCTTACTGACTTAAACTGCCTGTTGTGCAAAGTCAGATCGCGTCAGTGCTTTGAGCCTCCTGAGGATCATGCCACCTGTCTTCCACCAACTTGAGGAAGTCATCCGGTTTTTGGTTGACCGCCCAAGCGTGGAAGTCATGACCGTATCCCTGTAACTGCACTAAACCACTCAACCATCTTGCTGCACTCCCCTCTAGATAGGAGGCAGCCACAAGCACTTCCTCGTGTGGCAAGGTAAGTTTACACTTGACGTAGACGGCACTGACCTCAACCATGTGTCGAGGTCTTCGCCCCTCTTGTCCCCTGTGAAGGGTTTAGGAGCAGCGATGGTCGTCTTTGGAACCCACTGACTTTTGTCCCATCACCTGTCCCACTCCAGGCTGTGGACCTTGGGGACTAGGCTGCTACACTATCTGGTGTTGGGGTTGTGTACCCTGCGGCTGTGCAGGCTGCAAGACAACGGGCTGCCCGCTTACGGCAACCTGCAACGAAGGTTGGGAAAACATTGTCTGTACAGGAATCTGTACACTAGGACCTGCTGAGAACCCGCCTGTTAAGGGCATACCCAGGGAAATAGGCTAGACCGATGTTGGAGTTGTATATGGGGATACCCCAGTCACAGTTGGGACAAAAGGAGGAGGGTGTACAACGGGCCAAACACTGGGCCCGAACGGCGATGGTGCCGCCTGCGCTTACTAGACCAGCATGGCCAGACTCTGCAGAATGTCCTGTAAGATCGCCGTTTGGTGATCTTGCATCTCTACCACACCTAGCAAGACCGCCCTTAGGGTCCTCACATCATCGTCCAACTCTACTGGGTCCATCTCCTCTAACTCGCTAATGTCCGCTTGTCTCCGCTGCATCCTGACTCTTCTTCTAATCATTATTTCCTTCTCTGCCTTAATCTCTCCCAAAGCCTGATGTAGTTGTGCCTCGCGATCAGCAGCTCATTGTATGGCGACCTCTTCGGGAGTCATCACTAATGGTTGGCTTGCCATGACGCCAGTGAACTGACTCAGGGTTTGTGCAACCGTTGACCCTACAGACCCTGAACTACCGGCCTGGGAACTCTGTTGCGCAGCAGTTACCATGGCTGTTGAAGCAGCGGCTTCGCTTGCGCATGCCCTGCTGGCCTCTGCTGCCCTAGCTTTCCGCTCCTGCTGCTGTCTCTCCCTAAGCTGGCGGAGCAGAAATTTGTCACCCTCTGGTCCTAATGCCAAGTGGGCTATAGGGCGTCTTGCCGATCGCAAAATCCTATCGTCCGGTTGTGGGACCTCCTTGTCGCTCATAAGTTACAGAACTGCACACCGTCGGCACTAGGACACTCGTTCGATGCCTACCGCAGCGTCATGCACATACCGATTTAAAGTAAACTAATTAATCGGTGGCTTGGTCAGAGACTATACATTCGGGTTCAACAGGTAAGTTCGGATTCCTACAAACGAAAACTATTTTACTTTGACCCGATGTTGATTGTGATGACCAATCGCTGCTTCGGCACAACCAGCATTGCACCACGGTTCCACCTCAGCATCAATCACACATCGGATAGTTCTCATCACATTGCGAACACCCAATATTCACCACTTAGTAGCCTTCCTAGCGATACCCCTCACCCGCTAGGTCGCCTCACTTATCTCCACCCCCCTCACTACACACCTCCCACGACCGCTCGCCAAGCAGACCGCATGCATGTACCGCAAAGGCAGAAGACGAGCGCCAGATGAGCGCACCGCACCACAACTCCGATACCAAATTGCAAGGAAAATGAGCGATAGCCTGGGTTAGGCCGACGTCTGGCCCAGACGGACCGGGCCAGACGGACGTGGGGGGGGTCCGTCCAGCAAAACCAGACGAGCCAAAAAACATCCCAGGAGCTTTTTTTTTTTTTTTTTGAAGATGGGGTTGGAGTGCGCTCGCTAAGAGGAGCCCAAATCCGCAGAGAAACTTCTGAAAGGCATGTGTGTGTGGGGGCGGGGATACACATCTAGATGTGTATAAGAGACAGGTTCCTAGTCGAGCAAGTGTCATAATAGGCCTCGGCCTTACGACCGCCGATGACTACCTCACCGACGAACATCTCACTCCTAGGGGGTTTTGCCAATGCCGTCCAAGAAGCTAGCGGGTCTGATTTG